GGCTGAAAAATCTGCTCCAACTGAGGTATAGGGTGCTCCAGCGGATGGTATGGTCCGCGCCATAGGGGTGACCAGTGGTTGAACTCCTCCAAAGTGTACTCATACCGTAGGCCAAAAGTGGTACCGTGCTTCTTCAGCTTGATAGGTTTGGTGATACCCTGCAGGTTCTTGNCATATAGGGTTGCTACCATTGCCATGAATGATTACTTCCTGATGATTCCATTCAAATTTTACAGCCTGATGCAAAGTTGACGCCACAGCCCTAGCGGCGTGGATCCAGGGTCGTCCTAGCAACAAATGGTAGGACGCTGGTACGTCAATGACTTGGAACTCGACATCGAACCAGGTGGGTCTCATCTGTAGGCATAAGCTAATTTCTCCAATGGTGGACCTCTGAGATCCATCAAAAGCTTTGACATTGATAGCCCTGTCTTTGATCTCATGCAATCCCTTACCCAATGTCCTGAGAGTTACCAACGGACAAATATTGAGGCTGGATCCCCCGTCGACTAGAATCCTGGTGACAAAGTGATCCTCGCATTGCGCAGTGATGTGCAACACTTTGTTGTGACCAAGCCCTTCTGGCGGTAATTCATCTTCATGGAAGGTGATCTTATGGCTTTCCAGTATCTGCCCCACCATGTTTGCTATTTCGCCTCCTGTTATGTTGCTGGGAACATAAGCTTCACTCAATACTTTTATTAAGGCATTTTTATGTGTCTCTGAGCTTTGTAGAACAGCCAGAATAGAAATCTGTGCTGGCATTTTGTTCAGTTGCTCGACGACCGAGTACTCTTTGGCCTGTACCTTCGTCCAAAGGTCATCGGGTCTAGTTTCAACAGCCCGCCCGGAGGCCTGCTTGCTGGACTCAGCCAAGTGTTCCGTGGTGTATACCCTACCTGTCCTGGTCATGCCCTGTGCGGCAATCGCTTCCCCAGTATATGTGTTTCCCTTCCTTCTAGCCTCACCGGTGTAATCCCAAGGTATAGCATTTGTCTTGAATGGGGTTACGTCTGTCATTGAGACTGGAATTGGTGCCTTAGGAGGTAACACAGTAACTTCAAACGGCGTAGGCGCCCTTGGAACTTCGAACTCAACCTCAATTGGTTTTGGCGCCTTTGAAGGTGGTGCTTCAAACTCGAGTGGTACGGACACATTTACCATATTGCCCTCAGAGGGATGAATTTGGACAACAATGGGACTGAGAGTAACTATTAGCTTCTTAGGCTCGTCTCCTTTAGCTATCAACCTGATTGACCCTTTGGGGTCCCAATCATCTTCGATCTCAATCATGTGGATGCCTCTACCCTCGTGGTCAGGAAGAGGGTTGTTGCGGACATTAAGAGCGGGCTCCTTTGCTATAATGATATTGTTGTCAATCAGGTTCTGAATCTTGTCTTTCAACGAGCGACACTCGTCGATGGTATGGCCCTTCATCTCGGAATGGTATGCGCAAGTCTTGTTTGGGTTGATCTACTAGGAAGGATTTTCTAGAGTTACGGCTGGGATAGGGGTAACGTAACCAGCTGCCTTGAGTTTTTGATATAATTGGTCAATTGGCTCGGCTATGGCGGTATATTGTCTGGGAGGTTTGCGGTCGAAGTTTGGTCTAGGTCGAGGGAAGTTTTGGAGGTGATGGGTAGTGAGAAGGTTGGGAGTTATATGCTTGGTTTATAGGTGCGGGTTGGGAATATCTGTGTGAAACGGGTTCATACGTAGGTGGTGGAGCAGGTGATGGAATTTGGTAGGTGCGTGATGGTGCTTGGTAATTTAGGGTAGGTTGATATGTGAGTGGAGATGAGGGATAGGTTTGGTACTTCATATGGGAGTTGTTCCTTTGCGCAACCATCACAGAATTCACATCCTTTTTCTTTGATGAGCCACCAGACTATAAAGCCTTGTTGGTAGCTTGCAATGCCTCGTTTTTGATGCCTTCTTTGATTCTTTCTCCCAACTTGATGATGTCGGAGAACTTTTGGCCCTCTATTAGCATCAGCCTCTCATAGTACTGTGGATCCTGAGCACGGACGAAGAACTTGTTCATTTGTACTTCCTCCAAGGCCGGTCTGACCTTAGTAGCTTCTGACCTCCAACGAGTAGCATACTCGCGAAAGGTCTCTGTGGGCTTCTTCTTGATATTCTGGATACATCTAGTGCGTTCTCAATGTTGAACCTAAACCGATCCATAAAGTCAGACTCCATGTTCACCCAACTAGTCCATTTCTTTGCATCCTGGCTAATATACCATGATAAAGCATCACCCTTCAAACTCCTCATGAACAGCTTCATGCGAATCTTCTCGTCCCTTCCGACTCCTACCAGCTTATCACAATACATTCTAAGGTGGACCCTGGGATCACCTGTATCGTCGAATAGTTCGAACTTGGGAGGTTTGTACCCTTCTGGGAGCTCAACATCTGGCTGAACACAGAGATCTTCGTAATTTAACCCTTCAACACTTTTGTTACCTTTGAAATCTTGGACCCGGCTAGTCAACTTCTTGATCTCAGCGGCCAAATTCTGAATGAGGGAGCTCTTGTCATCTGTCTCGATTGCACTGGCGATTGGCTGACTGTAATGTGGCATAATGTCCACAAAGATTGGAGTGTTATGGTCTTTTGTGGTATTTTGTGTTTCAGGAATGTGCAGTGGAGTGTTGTTGCAGGCTTGGGCATGAGCGGGTTGTGCTAGTGGTGTAGTATGGTTCTGGTTGTTGGCATCAGCAGCGGCAAGAGTGATTGACAGACTTGCCAGGTTTCTAACTTGTTCCAATTCTTCTCGAATTCTCAGCAAAGTTTGCTCAAGATGAGCAGCAGTTTCCTTAATGATTGAAGCGTTCTGAGAGGTTTCCTCGATTTCCTTTCTAGCACTTGTATCTCCCATTTTGCCTTTGTTCCTGTTTCTGGTAGGACTTGGAGGAGGAAGAGGTGGAGGACCCTTGGATCTTGTTGAGTACGCTGATGGTACCAGAATACACGAACTAACCTTTGGGGAGGGGAATAAAAATAATAAAAGAAAAAAAAACAAAAAGGTAAAAAGTTAGCACGGATTCTGATAAATAATATTGCAATATTTAAACACATTGTGCTGGAATATAAATTGCTTCCTAATTTGGGTGCCTCGTTGTGCCCGAGGTAAGCCTAGCGACAAATTAAATTTGGAGAACTTATAATGCTAAATGCCTCATTTTCTTGATAAAAACAAGACGAGTCTTAAAACAACTGAATGATAAAAATATCACTAATGGACAATGGCCTTATTACATTATGAAAGCAGAAAATAAGAGTCCTACTACTTGGTCCCAGAAGGACCTTCCCCAGATTCGATACTCTTGCCTCCCTCGTACAGCTGCACCAGCTCGCGCAGTCCCAACAACAAGTAAGCTCGGGCCAGGTGCCCACCTTCATTACCCTCAGCATTCTGACAATCGTCAATCCTCTTCAAAAATTTACCTTCCAGTTCCACTAAGCCTTGTTCCAGATACACCAGCCAGTTGTTGGCGTTGACAGCCATATCCTTCCACTCGTTGATCAGCTTCTCGTGGGCTTCCTGTATTTCCCGATGTTCGTTCTCGCATTCTCGCATCCTTTTGCGTAGTTGATTGTATTTAACCTTTGCTGCAGTCTTATCATCGATAAGCTTATGACCATGGACAAACCCTAGGTGACCCAAACCAATGTGATCATCTTCCAGCCAACCTGTATAGTGCGACACACACCCGGCATGATACCTGTCTGGTTCAATAGACTCCTTCCCTAAAATGAGCTTGCAGTGCCACATATGTTGAGCGTGACACCTGTGCGGGCTATCATCATCTTGAAAGTCAGCCCTGAAATGACTCATTTTCTTTATCCTGGGTATGATTTGTTTCCTTCTGGCTTGCCTCATGACTCGGAGGGGGAAGTAAGGGCGAGTTCCCCTCAGGCCAATGAGTATGAGGAATGGTGCGTCTCGGGAACGGATAATGAACTCCCATGTTGGGAACCACTCGAACATCCACCGAATTTGCTCTACTTTTAGATTCTCGAATAGCTCTACCCATCCACTGGCGTCCTCTGGTTGAGCGGACATGTTGGGTGTGAAGTTCATTCACTTTGGGTGATGAAAGGTGATGTGGTCATCCCAATCCCTTCGTATGATTTCCTGTCTGTAGTCGCCTTTCTGAAGGTGTTCTATAAGCCAAAGCTGAAGTAACAGATTACAACCCTCGTAGTGCGGAGCCCCTTGGTGACATTTTCCCAAGGCTCGATAGATTTCAGCGATGATCATAGGTACTATACTGAAAGACTGCCCGTCAATTCCTTCCATTAAGGTCTTGGTCACTATGGCTAGTCTGGTGTGGATCATAGCCTTCTTCATAGGGAAAATTATCATGCCCAAGAAGCAAAACATAAACACGAACACCCTTCTATGTATATTCCCCAAAGAGGTGAGGGCGAATTCATCAATGTAGGTGCGATAGGACTTGCTGTGGCCATACCTTTCGTATAAGAAGTCGAAGGGTATGTAGGAGTCCTTCAAGCAAGAAAGGTCGGGGTTTTTCTTG